TTTTATTATTTTTTTTTTACAACCAATCCAAAAGAAACCAGGAACATGGAGGTAAGAAAAATAGGACATAAATAAAACAGACTAGAGTTATGTTAAGGAGATAAACTACTAGTTTTTATCACAATTGAGGGGGAAAAATGATATTGAACCCGATAAGTTAATAAGAGCTGTAGAAAGAGTTATGGAAGAAGCCACGGGAAGAATGAGGATAGATAAATGATTACTTCAAAAGGACAAGACAGAAATAAACTAAAATCCAGTAGCAAGACGTCAGACACTGATCTACTGTAAGCCAATAAATCAAAATACACAAACAAAAAAAATGCAAGAATGAACTGAAACACTAAACACACAGGATTGAACTAATATTTATACATCTGTATAGCAATGACAACTAGAACAGTATGATCTGTCACTGTCATTTAGACAGAAACATCATCAGCAAATGTTTCTGTAAATCTAAAATCAGGTGAATGTGTCATTAATATTCACTTTATTGAGAAATACTTCACAACAAAGAATTAAGACTGATATTAGCTTCATATAGTTCCATTCATCTTCCAGCATGTACCTCTATTTATGTGATTTTGGTGATATTTCTGTATTTTTGCTGCTCTCCTTCCTCTGTTTCCCTCTGCTTATCTTGTTTTTCTTCATTAAAACTAGTGTACGGCTTTTCTGTTGATTCCCTACGGAAAGTGAGTTAGACAGCGGATGACGCTCAGAGCAACTCGGTGTCACAGTGTGGCTTGTGTCAGCATTTAAGACCATGTGACAGTATGAATAAAGCATGATGCGGTGGCCAGCATGGTGGGCAGGGACTGACAGGGGGGAACAAGCTCAGCCAGTGTTTCGGTGATGGCAGACAAGTTGAAACCCTTAAAGTTTAATGGGGGCCATGCCACAAAAATGGAGGAGGAGTGTATGTGACTCCTGTGGTCTTGCTGGGCTACCGTACACACATCGTTAACCGGTGGGATGTAAAAGTGATTCTAATAATGTCAACAGCCTACCAAGTGTGTGATGGATCACGGTCACGCTGCACTAGTGGGATGGAACAAGTTTAATCAGCCACTCCTTTGTGTTTTGTTAAATCCTTCTCTTTAGAAGACGTTGACCTTCCATAATCCTGTGGTTTTTTTCCTCAGTAGTCGTCTCATCTCTTTCATGTCTGAACAGAAGGCCACACTTCCCACAGTGAATCCTTACAATGACTCAGTGTTTCTCTTTTCTTTGCTGCTGCCTCGGTTTATTTTTTCTTTCTTTGTTTTATCTTATTAAATTATGTTTTAGCAAAACTCAACTCTCTTGTTTAGAAGATGGAAGTCCATAGCAAGGTGGTGAAGCGGAAGTGTGCTGGGCCCATAACCCAGAGCTCTGTGGACCGAAACCACCCTCTGCTATTAACTATTGTTTATGAAGGAAGGTACCCTGCAAGTGCAAGTACCCGGTTAGATCCCCACAGCCTGCACTCTGAGTCCCTGAGCAAGACCTTTAACCCCCACACTGCTCCCCGGGTGCCGCACACTGGCAGCCCACTGCTCCCCAAGGGGATGGGTCAAATGGAGAGATAATGGGGGAGTGTCGGCCTAGTGGTTAGAACAGTGTGCTTGTGCACTGAGAAGGTTGCAAGTACCCAATTCGATCCCCACAACCTCCACTCTTGGTCCCTGAGCAGAGTAAATTTCTCCAATTTGAGATCAATAAAGTTATTATTATTATTAAACGGCTTCATCAACTTCATAAAATCATAAGATGCCAGACCCTCTTACCCATTTTTCCCCCCTCAGGTTACAAATGTAGTCAAAGCTAAAGAAAGGAAGTGAAACAAATTACTTGCTTTTTAATTTGACACTAAAACTATTTCTCCCATGGTTCCCAAAGGGAAAAAAATGTGCTTGCCTTGACTGAGGAAAAAAAGTAAAGTGTTGTCAAGTTCAGTTCTGGCTTTTCTAAGAATTTTATATCCGTATTGATGTGATGGCATTATGCCGCTGCTTCTGGCTTTTTACCTCACAGTCATAGAGCAAATTTCATCTTCAGAAACACTTTGGATTAACATGCGGTGACCGTCTAGGCCGTTGGCGTATAGTGAGCTGATTGTTATGTCCAAGAAACCAGTTTCAGATGGTTTTAGCTTTGTGACACGATGCAAAATCCTATTTGAAGTACTCATCCCAAGACAGGAGCACTTTGGTTTAAATAAGACAGACATGACCATGAGTTTGCAATATGTCCAAATGTTGCTTAGAAGTTTAAATTTAAGCATAAAATGCTTACTAAAACACCAGCTTTTCCAGCCAACTCTACCCTCATCATCATTGTTCCTCCTCATTTTCATTACCTCTTTTGATTTTTACATTGTCGACTTCAACTCTTTGATTAGAACCGCATATGTTTAATGTCAATCTTTTCCTGTTTTGGTTGGACGGAGCTAGCACTACAAGAACTAGCATACTTAATTTCTCAAGAATGCATTGACATCCGTGGGACCATATTTAATTAAAATGTTTTTAAACTAAACAGCCTAAATTATTTTTACTGTGTTGTTTTAACATAGAATACAATTATTTCCCAAATATTGCAGTTTCCAGTTCTTAGTAGACTGGAATTATAGTTGTATCTTTCCTGCCCTAAGGTTCGATGTGTTGAGCATTTAGAGATGGTATCCTGCATACCCGTTTTGCAGTGGGAGGTTATTTGTGTCAATTCAATTTCAATTCAATTCAGTTTATTTATATAGCGCCAATTCACAACACATGTCATCTGAAGGCACTTTACAATTCAACCAGATCATATAGTCAAATTGATTCAAAGTTTTCTATCTAAGGAAAACCAGTTGATTGCATCGACTCATTGACTCGGATGCAATCCCTCACACTAAGCATGCTTGTAGCGACAGTGGAGAGGCCGACTGGGGTTCAAGGAAATAGAAGCAGAGATACAAACAGCAACTGTAAAAGGCGGCCCCATCCAGGAAACACACAGCCAGGCAGACGAGCTCCAAGCCAAGCTCTCGTGTCAGAGGATGAAGAGAGAGAGAACCAGACTGAAAAACAGGCACATCTAAACAAAGGTGTTGATAGCAGCAGCACAGCTGATATTTCTCTCCAGGAAACTGGTCACTACTATCCTTTTAAATTAGAAAGCCCGTTCTCCTCTGACCTCTCATGTCATCAAGGTATTCCAGTCGACACAACTGCTGCTCCCTGGATATATTATCTATTCCAGACTGATTTCAGCAAACCAAAACTCCTATTTGCTCCAAAATCCCTGTAGTTCAGTATTTTCCAGCTTTTTTATAGTCATTACATTGTCACAAGTACAGGGCAACGAAATTGACTCTCTGCATTTAACCCACCCCCTTGGGGAGCAGCTGGCTGCAATTGTGCGGCATCCAGGGAGCAGTGTGTGGGTTAAGGGTCTTTGCTCAGAGATCCAGAGTGGCAGTCTTTGGGAGTGGGGCTCAAATTCAGAACCCCGGGATTCCAAGCACAATGCCCTAACCGCTAGGCCACCACTCCCCAAAGCATGCATTAGCATGAAGGGTCTTGCCTAAGGACCCACACTGGCAGCTCATTCCCCTCAGCTGGGATACAAACCCAGGCTTCCCGTTTGCAGGACGGATGACTTACCACTTGAGATAGCCAGCTGCTAAGGTGCTCGTGGTCAGACCAGGAACAACCATGCTATATTTAAAAGTATTTTAATTAATTTTTTTGTTTTGCATTTTAATGCTCAGTTTAAACTTCAGCAGGTTGACTCATAAACATACATAACCTAAATCATTAGAGGTGCTGTCATGGGATCTGATTTGCAATTTTTAGTTAACAAGTAATGGGTTTACCTAGTAAAGAAGCGAATGTGCTTTGTTTGTGTGCAGGATCAAAATTACTATCAACCCTATAAACTATAAATCTTTAAGATATCGGTGGATTTGTGATAGACTTTATGGAAGGGTGGGCTTGGATACCTCGGAGACTAAAAACTAATAAAGATATCAGATCATCAGTTAAAACATAACAAAAATATAGTAAAGTAATCATTCCCACCATAGTGTTGAAAGCAGCTCATTATGGTCTTTAGCTTTCTATGAATAAGTCCATAAGCTTATTGTCAATACAAACAGCTATTTGGATCAATGCTGAAGCATCCATGTTTAAAAAAAAAGACTCAGACTGTTTAAAAAGAAATCATTTCAAATACTTAATTAAACAAAACTTACAATTTTACTTTATACTCCCAGGTTTTTCAATCATCTTTCAATAATCTCCCTCTGGCTTTAGAAACTGAAAATATTGAATGTCAAACAGAGAACAAACAGATGCTAACAGACACTTTCTTAGCATTTCAATTAAAATAAATCTTACTTATTGTAATGAAGGCTATGGACTAGTTCAGTATAAAAAACAACAACAAATCCAGGGTTTTCAAGCTGTATCAGGAGTGTACGTGTGTGATTGTTTGTCCCACATGGGATGGTCAAGCTCCATCTACCAAATTCTGCGTGTCAGTGAGCAAATTGGAAATGCCTATTTCACTTTCCTCTCCTCTGCATCTTATCTGTCTTTTCCTCCTCATCCCACCACTTAGCTTATGCTTAAATGACTAAGGTCCCTTTCACACAGACGTCACTGTTCGATTTCTGGCTGCCTTCAGTCCTCTGACCGCCTCCACACCTCATCCCTTTCCCTATCTTCTCCTTGTCAACCACCCTGTCTTATCTCCCTCCATCCTCAGTCCCTCTCCTCCTCACCCCAGTTTCCATTTCTCTGAGCCCATTCAGCTGTAACCCATATTTTCAGTGTGGTTATGAAATATGTCTGTTTTGGAAGATTTGGATTTATGCATGCGTGTGTTCCTGGGCTTCTGCGAAGAACGGCCTTGGCTGAATCACTATGCAAATGAAACAATTTCTCCCACAGTTCCCAATTTGCATTGAATCCTATTATGAATCACCAATTTCTCTCTCACACTTGGTGTCTGTTTTTCTTTCGCAGTACGACTATGAGGGCAGCGGTATCAGCGACCTGCCGGTTGACCTCTCTGTGGTGTGGAACGGGAACTTTGTCATCGACAATCCCTTCAACATCCAAGGTAAAAAGATGAATCCTTCCTTCCTTCCTTCCTTCCTTCCTTCCTTCCTTCCTTCCTTCCTTCCTTCCTTCCTTCCTTCCTTCCTTCCTTCCTTCCTTCCTTCCTTCCTTCCTTCCTTCCTTCCTTCAAGCTTGTTTGCCTGGGATAAAGTTTTGTCGAGACAACAGTGGCACGTAAAGATTCCCCCCTTTCATCGGAACTCTGTAATTTCATGTTTGACAGCCATCAGCGAGAAAGGTGAAAGTGTGGCGTTTGTTTAGGAAAATCACTATTCTCGTCTCGGGGATAAAGGAAGAGCGGAAGGAGTGATTGATGGATAGTGATGATAACAAAAAACCCAACACTGAAATTAATAGGGATAGATGTTAGACAGGAAGATAAACAAATAGGGAAGCCAACAGGATGGAGAGAAACAGAGCAGCATTGGGTGTATGACAGGTTGATGAATGCACTGTGTAATGGCAGGGGGTAGATGTGAATAAAAGGGATGATAAAGGAAAAAACCAGAAGCGACACAGAGGGATGGTATTTATTATTTTAATCACTATTTGCGCATGAAGTGGAAAACAATTACCAATTGTAAATTCTTCATCAAGTGTAATACACTGGGAGGCGGAGGCTAATGGTTTTAGACGTCCCATTACACAAGATAATGCAAGTCTTGCTCTCCACCGTGTCAAATAGTCGTATTTTCTGAAAGCATGCGAATTAACTAAGCATTTCTAATCTGTTAACTTCTGCTTTTTCCCCTCCTAAAATAACACGCAAGAAGATTTTCATCACTTCTGATTGCATTATGCTTGACCTAATTTTAATACATGGGAGATGGGCGGTTTGGTTAACAGACTAGATATGCAGAATTCACAGTTATTACAGAGGTTTTGCCTTTTTGTTCACACATTTAAAACAGAAAGAACTTTTTTCAATAGGGGGTTTCATTTCAGGATAAGTCTATCCAAACAAATTAAGTGAATATAATCAATAATTAAATAATTATCCAAAAGTTTTTGAACATCTTCGCAGGCCGCATCCACCATTTTGGGACTCTGAGGTTTTAGTTTTCAGTTATCAGTTGTTCTGTTTTGTTGATCTTTGGTTTATTTTCCATTATATTTGGGAGTTCCATCATATTTAGTTTCTCTCAGTTAACCCCTTGTGCTTGTTTCTTTTCCCCTTGGCTTCCTTCTAGTTAGTTCCACTCACACCTGCTCCATATTCAGCTCATTAGCCCATCCTTTATTCTGTTCCCCTTATATACACCACCCCTGCAGTCACTCAGTCCTTGCTCGATCCTCATCTCTGGCTCTACACGTGAGTTTCCCCCTGAAGTTTTCTGGTTTTTTTGGTCCCTTGTCCTCACCTCTGCCTCATGATCTCTGCATTTGGGTCCTCAAAAACCCCCACCCAACCGTGACAGTAGAATCAAGACATTACTCACATAGAACCTGTCTGGCAACATGAAGTAGGCAATAAAAAAGTCAGCAAAGAGCACACAATGCTCTGAGCTAATAAAATTTAGAAATAAATAAAAAATGCTGATTCTCATAAAAAACTGAATTGAAGAAACTGGACTTCTATTACTGTTTGAAAATCTTCAGGTCCACCTGCATTTCATGGACAATGGACACAGAGTTAAGGACAAGGGAGAGGTTTAAATTTGAAGAATAAAGAAAGCCCTTTAAACAGACATGATAAATCATCTTAGCTGAGGAGGAGGACTGAGAATTTGCCTTTTCCCATTCAGCACAGAAATGAACCTCCTTCAAAGGAAGTTTTAAGGAAATTAATTCTTGTAACCAATGTACAAGCCTAAGAGAAAAAAGAGGCCACATCAGGAGAGTAATGAGCAACACCTGACTTGGCCCCAGCAAGTCCTCTGGAAAAGTTTAAAACGTTTCAAGCATTACAAGAAGACCAGAGGCTTTTGATTCAGTTTCAAAATCATTATAGTTGGATAATAAAACAAAACAAAATAAAACATTTACAAGCTTTAGGTCTCCAGAGAACCACAATGAAAGCCATTATCCACCAACAGGGAAACCTTGAAACCTTCCTATCAATTTAGAATATATAGAGAACATATATAGAGAGAGAATATCATTGACTTCTTGAGGAAATCGCAACAGAACCCTGAACATCTGAAAACTCTTGGCTTCGCTCACCATAACCCTTTAAAGCCTGGTCCAAGAATAAAATAAAACAGAAAATTACTTTTTTTTGGTTTGAATTCCTTATTTTCCCTTTTAAGAAAATATGTAAAAAGAAAAAACAGAAATACATTTTTTATATTAATAATTTATTACTATGTGATAAGTCTTTTTTGAGCAAAGTTTTTACCAAGAAATTATGCAAAAGGTGTCAGATGCAAAACATTTCAGAAACGGTATGTATCAAATATGATACATTTGGTATTATAGGGTTAACTAGGGTCAGAGTTCATGCTTCAATGATTAGACAGAGACTTAGAAAATCTCTGCTCAACTAAAACATCAAACAGGACAGTTTGGTATTTATCAGAGATTCTTAATGATTCCAGAGACTTGGTGATTTTTTTTTTTTAGACTAATAGAACAAAAAAGTAACTTTTGAAAGCCATGCATTTCTAACATCTGCTTTAAATCAACCGTGCATCCATTTCTGTCACGCTTCATCTCAGCTGGGGTCATGAGGGGTGCTGGTGCCTATCTCCAGCTGTCTGCGGGCGAGAGGCGCGGTAAACCCTGGACAGGTCGCCAGTCCATCCCAACCCCATTTTATCTGAAAAACAATAAAAAATACCATTAAGAGTTCCCCATGGTGGTGGCACTGTGAAGGCCTGGACTGGACCTGACTAGGATGAATGGAACCAGTGATACTGTTCTGCTCTGTCCGGATCATGCCCTCCATAACAGTATTTAAGGAGTGATGCACCCCTTTAAGTTACTTTCTTGGGTCAGTTAGGTCACTTTATTTACTCTTTTAGCTTAAAAATATGTACACCTTCATATGTAGTGTTAATTTTGTTAGGCCACACCCTCCCTCATTACACAGATAGGAATCACCTGCTATATTCAAATCCATGAGGGATTTTCCAGGTTAGTTAGAAAATGTGCAAAACAATGATTACATTGTCAAAATACTCATTAGCCTAATAATGAAGCATACGGTGCAGAAGTAATGAAAAGCAAAACCATAGGAAATCTGTGTACAGTAGGAATACTCCTTCTAACATTTTACCTATTTATAAGGCATTTCTTTTTGCTTAAAATGCTTCAGATTTCTCTACATTGTAAGCAATCCTCGGTGGGGATTAAGCATGAAGTTATTTTTGTAGTTAATCAAGCAGATGGATCTATGCTGATGGCGAAACAACCAATTCTCAAAATGTTCTAATCACATTAGCACAGAATTTAATTATTTAGATGCACGTTTGACATTAAAGGTTCTCATGCCCTGGAAAAAGTATGGATTTCAATGTTGGCAATTTCCAGGTCTGAATAAATCTGGGGGGGAAAAAATATTAAATGTGTTTTTTTTATCCACAGTAGATTAATTTGCTTTATTCTAAGGCTGGTGTCCTCCCTTTGTTTTGTTTTTCCTTTTTTCCTTCCTTGCTTTCTTAGTTTCTTCATTTTTTCTGTCCTTTCCTCTTTCCATTCTCCTTTTTCTCTCAAGCATGTTCTGTTCTATGTAGATGTTGTCTTTACCTTCACATCTTTGTCTTCTATTCACATTTTCTCCCCTCTATCTCTTTGTCCCACCTTTCTTGTATAATTCCTCCATCCCGTTCTTATATCCCTTCCTCCATTTTTATTACCTTGCAATTTGTCTCCTGTTTTATATTTTCTTTCTCTGTGTCCTCAGTTTCTCCTTCCTACCTTCTTGTGTCATTCTTTTCTTGTTTTTTATCCTATCTTTGTTCTTCATTCCTTCCATTCTTTACCCATTAATTCCCTGCTCTTTACTCTTTCTTTCTGTCTCCTTCCCTTCTTCCATGTGTCAGTCGTTCCTTTATTCTCTATTTCTAAAAAAGAAAAAGGAAGGAAACATTTTTGTTCTTAAACAACCCCCATTAATGAATCTACTACAGCCCCATTTCTTAGTGTTAAGCGTCTTCTTTTCTTTCCATGTTTAACACACTATTAGAAACTGTGACCCAAAGGTTTAAATTACGCTTAATCTATCCATAAAACGTAACCCTACTTGATTTTTGATCAAGGATTTTTCTTTAAAAAGAAATACATATCTTGCTCTGTAACCCCTCTGCAAAATATGACCTTTGTCTTGTGCTACAAAGGTCGAAGTTCAAAACCCTATAGGACATCTGAAAGTAGATGTTTTGTCAAGAAGACTGAATCTAAAGTCGAATAATCACATATTTGTGTAAAAATGTAAACATTTTGAACACCCCCCATTTTAATTTCTGCTGCCTAATCCCCTGGCTTTGTTACAACACACTATTGATATTCTGCAAATGAGCTCAGTTCACACCTGTGAGCTCTGAGTTAAAGAGGAGATTATAAGAGATTATTTTTCTTTCCACACCACATTATTCCCATTGTTATCTTTTAAATTCATGCAATAATTAATGTTAAAGGTTTTTTAATCTTTGAAAACATGCCTTTATGAAATTGTACTCACTCATACATATCTCATAAAGGGCCTCTCCTCCTTCACTCCTCCTCCTCCTCTCTCCATCCTCTGTTAATCCCTCCTCAATCCTTCCCCGTCTCTTTCTCTCTGAACCAGAGCTGTGTTATCCTTTCCGAGGCAGAGGCGCTCGGAGCAGGCCCGGTTTTGCCCTGGTGTAAAGTGGAGATGTTAACGTTAATTAAATCATTCATTTGGTCCAGATTAATTAGTGTCGCACTACTTTTAAGCTTAGCCATAACTAATCAGATTAGGCCGAGCTGAGGGCCGAGTGAGGCAGATGGAAACAGGAGAAGCTCACTTTGAAGTCCAGCCGCCGTATGTCTGCTGAATGAGGAGATCCTTCCATAGGCTCTGCTTCTTTTCTTCACAACCTCAGATCTTTTTTATCTGGTGGAAAAAAAATATCTGCCTGCAGGTGCTGACTATGTTGCATTAACCGAGATAATTGTGATTCCAATTTGCAGATTATAGCAAAGCCAGGAAACCGAAGCATCCACTGCTGCTTTTCGCTGCTTGTTTGGATGCGTCTCTCTCCTCTCTTCGCTCTACTGACGACTAACCCTCCTCCCCTGTTATTCGAGGTCTCTCTGTCTGGTTTTCTTTCCACCTCTCCCACTGTATCTGCCTCTGCTTCTCTGGGCCCTCTGGAGGGGTCACATCATATTTGAATTCATAACAACCCTTGTTGCTGTTTTGTTAACAAGCGGAGCTCAAATTTGTCCTCCCCCTCTTCCCGGCTTCTTTTCATCTCCCACTCGGCTCCTAAGGTGCTGGAGGTTTTATTTCATTTATTATCTATTTGTTCATTCATTTTTGTATTTTTAATTCATTTCTCCAGTCTGCTGCATCAGTGCAGCTTTCAGTTTCTTTGGGCAGCTTTTCAATGTAGCTATGCAGTCCCCTTTTAGCATTAGAAGACATTACCTATTGAATTATACCTCTAGAAGTGACTTCCTAAAATTGCCATCTTTCATAGGGAAGTCATATCTGAATGTCGAATCTTTCTGTCTAACACAGTTATATATGTATATATATATATATATATATATATATATATATATATATATATATATATATATTAGTGCTGTCAATCGATTAAATTTTTTTAATCGCGATTAATCGCATCAATGCCAAAGTTAACTTACGATTAATCGCATTTTAATCACACATTTCATTTCTGATTGAAAATCATTTAAATACTCTCGATGACATACAAAAAATACATACAGGCTAGGTTTGTGCTAATGTTCTTTTTTTTAAATGAGAACAGGTCACAGACACTGATTTATGCCATAGAAACATATGGCAAGAAGATGGGGAGGCATGTAGCAAAAAATAACAAATGTGTAGCCAAAAAAAGGCCCTGAAAACATGCTGATGTAAAAGACAGTCTTTACAATTAATACAGTCTTTTGAACAAAGACAAGCATTTTACCCTACTGCTATAAAATGCAGTAGAGTTAACATTAGATGTCAATTAACCAAGGTAATAATGAACAATTTTCAATCAATACATCAAAATCAATAGACCGACATCACTAGATGGAGGTAGTCTATGCTCTAGAAAGTTACTTTTCAGCCTCTTAACAAAAATGAGAACACACACACACCCATCCACCCACACACACACACACACACACACACACACACAGACACACGCGATACCGACCTGTGGCGTACACAGACAGCAAGAGTGCCGTAGCAGATTCCATTTCACCTACTTGGAAAATTGTACCATTAAACCACATAGCGTTAATCTCACGTTATTGGCCAATCAAATTTTTCCGGTCATAGCAACTTGATTCATATGTCGCAGCTAATATACGCAACGGTTGAAATAAGAAATAAGAATTATTTACTTTATCTTTGAGTTCCGTCCCAGTGTTCACGGGGATGGACGTCTGTGTCTTCAGCAGGCGTAGAGCTAACAGAACTGGCAGCGTTGCGAGGCAAGGGCTCAAACATGTACGGCTGTAAGCCTTCTATACCAAACCAAGCCTCTGCCACCCTGGTGTCCTCTTCCACAACAATTTTGTCTCCACTTTCCTCCTTTAAATACAAAAATGTATGATGGAGGATGCTCATCCACGACCTCCGACACAAAACTCTCCTCCTCTTGCATGTTACCGCTGTCCATAGCGTTCCTTGAAAGTGTCGTTTCTAAGTCACCAATTTAGTGCTACTTGGTCCCAATGTGATTTCCCATCAGGAACCTACTAGCACTAAGTTGCTAATTGGTTAGCAAGATGCTTCTGACTATCCAGCCACAACCAAACTTACTTGCGAATCTTCCACCAAAACTATCTCGCCCCCTTGATAAACAACCAATCACATTCACTTTATTCACTCGTGTAAAGTCGTGCACCACTTGAGAGAATTTGTAAATGCAATGGTTGGAACAGCCGCTTCCCACTTTATATCAGCGTGAGTGGAAATAAAAACAAGAACTCGCCTTTTGAAAATTAACCAATATTTCCAGTTGTTAAATATAGCAGTACTATTATGTGCTGCTTATCAGTGAGGTTAAGTACACATTGATTAGTATAAATCGGAGATGATGAAAACACAAACATTCTTCAAAAATATGAATTTTCCTCCTACAATGAGAATCTTCTGCAACCTTTCTTTGTCTGTTTTGGGGCTTCTGCGAATGGCAACTTAGTTTGCAAGCAAGATTAAATGCCACGGGATTTGTCAAATAACAAACTCCTTAAAATACATTTTGCCAGAACCCAATGGATGCATTGCTCAAGTACAGAAATGTTTTGAACCAAAGAAATGCAGTGTCAGCCTGAAGCAAAACAAACATGGCTGCACCGGTGGACACCTATCTATTGCACCTTAGTCTACTCCAAAAAAATTAAAAACAATCCACTGGACTTGGCTTCCAAGTTTGAAGATGTTTTGCTTCCCATCCAGGAAGCTTTTTCAATTCAAAATGTCAGGAATAGCGATGAGTTTGAGGTTTTATACAGTAGCCTAACAAAGTGTTGTTTTTGTTTTGAAAACATGCAAATCGGAACAGACGAATGGTCCACCCATTAGCAATGGTGGTCCTTTTGCCACTTTTGTTAGACTGCAATACCCCATACCCATCTAAATGTCTGAAAGGTTGGTTGTTAAAGGTGATTGTTTGACTGGCTGAATAGACAAGGTCCTCCACTTTCCTGTGGGGCTGTTATGATACCAAAAAGGCTCAATAGCTGCATTCTAAGTTTTTTGGGTGGACCCCTTCGTCTCTTCCAATTTGCATGCTTTCAAAACAAAAACAAGGTTTTGTTGGTCTACTGTGTAAAAACCTTGATCTCAACGCTATTCCTGACATGTCTTTAAACTTGGAAACCAAGTCCAGTGGATTGTTTTAAATTTTTGTCTACCCCTGAGCCCAGGTGCCAGACACCCCCCACTGTCATCTACCAAACTGTTTGTTCCAGAGGTGCTGAATTTCTTCCACATAGTAGCAACAGATCACATGGTGACCAAGTCTAACTCGGGTTGGCTTTTCTTAACTTTCAGTTTAGGTTTACATGAGATTTTGATATACAGTTTTGCTTTTTTGTTTTTGCAGATTCAATTATTCTATAAATGCATTGACATACAAACTTCAAAAAACATATGTTAACTTATTCCAGTGTTTATTTATTTTCTTTTTTTTACAAGACACACATATATATAATATGTTAGAAAACCTGTGATAGCCAAATATGGGCCATGCTAAGCAGTCTCTCTTCCACTGCTCATAAATGTTCTTCAAAAAAAGTCTCACATGGATGTTTTTTTAAAGCTTGCAGTTCCTCTACACATCCTGCATGTCTTTATATTTTTCTTTTCTCCTGTCTTCCTGTCATCCAGCCCACCTGTACAAGTGCAGGGCATTACGGGACAGCTGCGGCATGTGCCTGAAAGCTGACCCCAGGTTTGAATGCGGTTGGTGCGTCCAAGAGAAGAAGTGCTCCCTGCGGCAGGAGTGTACGGTCGGTGGAAACTCCAACCTTCCTCTGCAGCTGGCTGAAGGTGGGGGGTGGATGCATGCCACATCTGGAAACAGCCGCTGCACTCACCCCAAGATCACTAAGGTAAGGCAGCATGGGTGTTTACATATGTTTTTCATGGCTGCATGTAGATGAAGCCACTGGTTTATAAATGACACATGGTGTTAAGTGAGTTATCAAGAGGATATTTGTGTGGGTAAACTGTCGATTATAACATGAGTGATAGGTTTGCTTAAGATGCTGCAATGTTTCGTTATTTTAGATCAGTGTTTATCAACTCTGTTCCTCAAAACACGCTGCAATGATAGGTTTATGATGTTGCTCTGCTTTAGCACACCTGGTTTCACTTAATTCCTAATTAATAGGTTTGTGGGAAAACAACTGCTTTAGATAAATGCTCTGCTCTGTTATCATTCAGTCTTTAACCAGACACATCCAACACAATGCGGTTGTAGCTCCTCTACAAAACAGGACAGGTCCAAACTGTAATGGACATTATGTCTGCAGAGGGGATTATCAGGGGGACCTACCCTCTTTCTAGGACTTGGACAGGTCAAAGGTCATGCCAAGGGCAGCTAACATCTCTGCAAAACCCATACATCCTGGATATAAATTGTGTAGACCTCCACCTTCAGGAACGTGCTACGCAGCAGTTTTTACACAGCCTAGAAACCGTTTCTTTCTCAGGCAGTGACTCTGTTGAATGTTTGATCAATACAATGAATGTCTGCAAGTAAAAAAAAGAAGAAAAAGAAAACCAAACTTTTTCCTCAAATTTTCTTAATATCTTTTTATGTAGAATGCATTTATTAAAGCAAACAAAGAAGAAATTTATAAAACACATAATGACCTAAATCCAGCACACAATGGCTACAGTGATTAAATTCTAAATTCCCCTGAAAAGCGTCACATCTCTTTCTGAGCACCACATCTTTGTCTTGTCGGCTCATGAAGATTGTAATGTCACCTGTGGAGATCCAAGGCCTGGAAATCTTGAAAGGACGTTGCATCAGCTCCCTTTGTTGAAGTCCCTGTGGTCACAAAAGCCCTACGTGTCCTGAACCCAGAATGAAAGCTGCTCTATTTTAATGTGCTGCTATTATAACGCTCATATTAGTTGGGACCTTGTGCCTGCCCTTGGCACAGATTACACACGGTTACATCAAACCGCTCCTCTGGAACCAGCCTCATGAAAAACTTTGTTTTGGCTTGATTTCTTTTTTTCATCTATATTTTTTTCACCATCTTTCAGGTTTATTTTTAAGCAACACTCAGAGAAATCAGTTTTTATGGAATTCTCGTTTTGGGGTTTGTTTTCTTCCCTGCCTTTGTCACTGTTATGACTTTCAGTAAGGCCTCATAAAACAAGACAAAGAAGTTGAAATGAGAAAGAAAAAATTACTGGCCGTCAAGTTTCTGACTGAATCATAAAATTGCTTCCTTTTATCAAAGCGTCACACTTTTCACCAATATAGCAGCTTTACAATCACTTTTACTGATAAGAAAGCTGCAGCCCTGTAGCAAAGAATGAGGGGCGACTTTATTTGTAAATGCATAATTTTTAAAAACTCAAGGAAGAAAAGGCATACTTATCTTTTTAATAGACTAGATTATGGAAAACAATCTAACTCCATCCATTTTGGCCCATTGGGCCCTGGCTAGGATTCAGCTCTGCATTGTGACTATAGATGCACTGACTTCATATTTTGCATGCTTTTTGTGAAGCTCCCCCTAATCCTCGGATGGATTTAGTCAATGACAATTTTGACAATACTTTCAAGGATGTAGTTTTCCTTGTTGCTGGTGCACTTTTCACTACAGTTATGCTTGGATAGAGCACTTTGTAAGCAACCAGCTATGACCTTTTACTGTATAGCTCTTCCTTCTTGTGGAGGGTTTTAATGTCTGTCCTCTGGACATAAGCTGAGTCAGCAGTCTTCCCCATGGTAGTCTTGGCCAAAATGGCTATTATCATTTCTAAATAAAAGGCTTTTTTATATATTTTATTGTTATATTTTTAGTGTAATTTTCACATTTTGAGATTTGTATATTTTGTAACACATGTTCATTAAGATTACACAAATAAAATTGTCTTTTTTATAACTAGTTATTACCTCTGCCATGTATGTTTTTGGTTTGTTGGTGAGCGACATTACAGGGAGAAAAAAAAGCAGTCCACTGGAACGTTTCCAACAGGTTTGTCCTTGCCCAGCTTAGATCTGGCTTCATTAACGATGTAATCCGTAACCACAATCAGGATTGATGAATTTTTTAAAGGATTCCTAAACATTGTGAAGATATGGAAATTAGCTGCTTAGTGTAGGTCTCATAAAGCATTGGCATAAGCAGCCTCCAACATGTGCAGAGCTTAGGCGTGTAAACAGAATTAGTTTCCAGATGTTTGGATGTACGGCTTTAGAATATCTGAGCCAGTAAGTGTTGGCTCCAATGTATGACCTAAACAGCACCAACTTTTTAAAACTGATTATTATCAGTGGCTAACATTACGCCCAACAAGGAAACGCATACAAACAAAATATGTGTATGTTGTGGCCAGACGGCAAACTAATTGGAAGTCTCTGCCTAGTTATTATGGCTTTAGCAATATTTGGTTATGACCACAGGAAAACTATAAAAGCATCATGACCACAAAGTGATATTCAAGGTTTCTACATCAGTGCTGGTAAAAGCTAAGCTAAGGAAACAGATGTCAAAGCTGATTTGATTTTGGGTTCTACTGATCCGGATTTTGAATTATATAAAGTAATTTTTATTTTGGAGAAATGTGTCTTCATAGTCACTTCAAAAAGGCTCCAATTGTGGGTTTTTTCACACTGGTCTTGTTGTGATTTAAAAAAATGAAAAGAAATTAAAAATATATTACATTTATTTTCTATGATATAAAAAAGCAAACAGGTATGTTTGGTTCTGTTTTCAGCACCTACATGGTCCAGTTTACCCTCAAAGTTAGTGCATAATGTTGTGTTTTTATTTCTATTTTTTTTAGATATACTTAATAGAAAAGTGGGTCTGATGTGCATTGGGAGGAGCTACCCTTTATTTTCTTGTGAAAATGGCAGTTCTATTTGTGCGATCAGTGGGTAAAATGTAATTTAATATTTTTTAAGTAAGAAAATTTACAATCTTGCCTTCAAATATTATTTCGCTGTCAGAGCCACTCAGACTCCAGTACAGCGGCGATGCTTTGTCGCTAGGAAGCCTGTTCAACAGCAGTCTTTGTCCCGGGCGCCTCTTTGCAGTTTTCTGCTACTGTTCACGGCGGCTGGAAGGCATTTTTCACGTAATCCAAACTGCAGTCACAAGAATAATAAAATGAAATATATTTTGCTGGCAGGCTTCTACATTTTAAGTTAATTTAGGTATTATTTAAGCTGTTTGAGAGGACTGATCACAGTGATCTGCATCAGCAGTGTTGTGTCTGTCTCCCTGCAAGCTCCCAGATCAGCTTCCCTGATTGGTTGATGTAGCATGTCGAGCAGCAAAAGTTCAATTTTTCCAACTCTAGCAGCTGCTGCTGTTTCCGAAGTGCGTCAGATGCTCAGAAGCTCATGACACACTGTTTCAGCTGCAACCTGCTGCAGGACCGTTTGCTGCGCCTTCATGTGTGTTAACCATTGACTTTGCATGTAAACTAGCTGCCTCTGCTGCTTCTAGCGCTTGCGGTCTGAATGTTGCATTATTATACTGATGCACGGGGTGTGATTTCACCTTTGTTTTGACTCTTCTGACCACATGATTTTGTAACCATTTTACAGTAGCAGCCATTCAAAATGGCGCTTCCTAGTCAAATGGCAGTCCACTTCCCTGCATCTCCCAGCGAAATCCCGTCCAACTTCCAGCCACTGGAGTCACCTCCTTCTTCTCGGTGTGCATATTTTTTTTGTCTGACTCAACCCTTTCACATAATTAAAGGGTCTGGCCAGGGAGATAACGCTTCTCTCTAGATCTTAATGTCGGCAAATCATGACAGGAAAGAATATTTTAGTGCAAATATTGATGCTTAAAAAGGAATTGTAGGGGACCAGCCAAGGTCCTATCAAAAAAAGCGGGAGAATGTTGAATGGATACTACTGTATGAATCTTTTTTTTTTACAGGATGTCATTTTTGCTTCAATAAATCCCATCAAAGCCACTCAATAGCTATTTTCTTTACGAACTGTAGCTGAAATTTACTGTAACTTGGTAGAAAAAATACACTAAAATTGTATTAGTAGTAATGATCAGAACAGTCTTACTTGTACATAAATTGTGCAAAACCTATAAAGTCCTTTATATATATTTTTTTGTTGTTTGTTTTTAGTTTTATGCTAACAGCCATGAACTGTAGAAGCAATTACTTAGGATTGTTTAAAGCTTAGCATCCAGCTGCAAAAGTTCAGACCACTCTGAATGCCTAAATCAGGGTTCCCGCGGGTCCTTAAAAAGTCTTAAAAGGCATTGAATTCTTCAAAATAAAATTAGGGCCTTAATTTGTATTAAACTGTCTTAAATCAGTCTTTCATAGGTCTTATTTTTTAAAACATCATAAATAGGATTATTTTTATTACGATTTATTTTTGTAATCTAAATAAAACGTTAAAATTGACATTTTTCTTTTTATAAAAAAAAAAAAATGGCTTGCCATTATTGGTTCCGTCCAGATAGCGGAACCAATAAAAGCGTTGTTGGTTCCGGGACATTTGGGAGATGCACCATTTACTATTTGTATGGAAAATATGAGCAAGTGTAAATGTAACGAGTTTTCTCCATGGCTAAAACCAGGGAACATACATGAGGCACAGTGTGTTTTGTGCAAGAAGTCATTCAAGCTCGGAACGATGGGAATTAAGGCAGAGAAGTCGCACATTCAAAGCACAAAACACAAAGCGTCAAAATCGAGTTACTGAGAAACAGCCGGTATTTGTCGGTTTAGTTCCACCCTTCTCTCTGCAACGCCTCCACTTATCACCAAATCAAACATAGAAAACGATACAAAGAAAAATTACTGCAAAACAGACTTAGCACTGGTTATGTTGTGGCTTTAAAACTGATTTGTTTTGTTCCCTTCTAAAACAAACTTTGTG